CCCCAAAACCCCAAAACCCCAAAACCCCTTTAATCAATATAGTCATAATAAGCTGAATATGATTATTTAATAATTGATAATCAGTTAATTAATGTATAACTATTGAGATATAAACTATTAAAGAACAATCCTGTGTATTTGTTACAATATGAAAGTCAGCAATATCTTTCCTCTATAAATTGAATTAATTTCCTATTTCTTTGAATTTTGAGAAATCATTCGTAATCTATAAATTGCTAATTAGTAACTATTGGTACATAGGGATTTAAAGTAATACTTACATTCCTTGTTATTGATACTCCGCTTAAATGAATTCTAAGTTTGCTATAATTACTGATTATGAACTATTGACATGCTTTTTCTACCCTACCTTAGCCTCATTATTGGCAAAGTATTCTATTGCACATTTTGAGACTTCATTTTGTTGTAATCCGCTGCCTGGAAGCTGTTCTGCGATTTCATTAAGATATTACTGTTTTTTAGTCTATCATTAGTCTTCTATCCCTACTCGAAGTTACTCTCGTAGAAATTAGTTTCACAATTGGTCTATCTGTCTTTTGTTACATCTAGGGCTGAACTCATATTCTATGAATTCTTGTCTTATTATTCTCTTTACAGCTTCCTCTTCATTATCAAGTTCAAGTACTTTTTACTTACGAATTTAGGATGCTTTTTCTCAGGTGAATTTTGGGATTAATTTTTCCCAGATAAACTAGCTGGCAAATTGCTCATTGAATCCATATAAAGAATTTTAGAAGAAGTCTGCTGATTATTCAGAGAGGGCTCATAAAAGTTTGATTTATTTGACTTATTTCTGGAGTTCAATTATTTTCTTAATGCAATTGTCTATTTGTAATCGCTTGATTTTTACTGGGTGTTTTAATAGTGAAAAGGACTGTGATTTGAGACTGTAGAATCTAATTTGGAGTCAGTGATGGTTTTATTGAGCATGAAATCATTGTGACTCACAGTCAAATTCTTATTGGAGAACTAAGACTTGGGAGCTTACTTCCTAAGTATCCGCTTCCTTTAATGCTCGCTTTATTATTATTGTCCGTTAATAGTTTGGAAACTTTGTATATTTCTCAGTTGCCGATTCTAATTTACTTCTTAAACCATGTGCATGGTTGAAGTATTCCGATCTATGGTATCAAAAATTATTTTTTTCTTGTGAGATTCGAAGATGGAGGTTGATCACAGACTTGATTATTCTGGGAATGGATTACCAATTGTGCTCGTCAGAGACTGTTATGTGATAAGCGTGCTTTTCTTTGTTAAAAGCATTTCCCTTCTCTATTCAGCTCTCTCGACTTAAATTCTTAATAGTCTTTATTATTTCCTTCAATTAAGTAGCTCTGTCAGTTATTAATTATGCTTTTGATAACACGTGAATTATACGTTCGGTTCATCCTCATATAAATAAAAAGCGTCCAACATTAATAATCTCTCTAATTATAATCTTTTTTTCAATTAGTTAAATTTAGGAGATTTGAATCGACGGGGTTTTGGGGTTTTGGGGTTTTGGGGTTTTGGGG